ATCACCGAGCGCGATGCGATAGTAGCGTCCTGCGCGCCTGGGCTTGGTCCCCCCGCGGCCCCCCAGAAAGCCGCGCACCAAAGGCTACTCCTCCTACCCAGGGCCACTCCTGCGTGTAGCCCAGCAGGGCCGTTTTTTCACCGTTTCTGGAAAAGTGTCCCTTGAAAATGGAGACGGCAACAAAAACGGCGACCGGAAACGGCAACAAAAACGGCCCTGTCATTGGAACCGAGCGGGAACCCGTAACAGAAGGGCGACGGAACCGGTAACCAAAACGGCGTCGGAACCGGCAGCAAAAACGGCAAAACGGAACCGGTGAAAAACCGGCCCTGTCGTGTCCAGGGCCCAGCGAGCTCCTGCCTGTAGCCAGCACCTGGCCGCTCGAGCCCCCCTGGCATCGGAGCGTGGCAGAGCAGCGCCCGCGCTGCCCGCGTTCTCTTCCCCTGCCTCCAGAGGGGGCCTCGCGGCCGCAGCTCCCTCGCCACGCGTGCTGGCGCCCCCGCGGCCCAGCTCTGCTCCGCGGGAGGCTCCCGTTGCTGAGGGTCGCGTCGGAGGGTCGACGACGAACAAAAACATGTGGGGTTAGTTCAGTGCTGTGGTCGATCTCCTGCTCGACAGAGGGGGACGAAGAGTGACATGAGCATAACAACTCGGAGGTGCGCGCGGATTTCTCGGTCGCGTATCTGGGTGACCCAAAAGGGGGTCCAGCGACAAGGGGGTTGTGCGAACGATTTGGTGCAATAGATTTGTGGGGCCGCAATACATTTGGGGCGTGCAGTACATTCCGGGGCGCAAATGTATTGCTGGATGTTGATGTGCAACGCGTTACTTGCAATGCAATGCAATCCAATACAATTCTCCGGCGCAATATATTTCCAATACAATCTCCAGAAATCTATTGCACCACCCCATTGCAGCTGGACCCCCGTTCGGGTCGCCCAGAGGGTCGCGTAGGAGGTCGACTACGAGCAAAAACATGTGGGGTTAGCTCAGTGCTGTAGTCGATCTCCTGCTCGTTAGAGGAAACGAAGCGTGACATGAACATAAAAACTCGGAGGTCCGCGCGGATTTCTCGGATCCGCGCTGGACCCCCCTTGCGGCGCCTCCGGCGCCGCCCCTGGCGCGCTCCGCGCGCCAGGGAGGGGGGTCCAGCGCCGATCCGAGAAATCTGCGCGGACCTCCGAGTTTTTATGTTTTAAGCCATTTCTTGTTCGCCTAGGGTAGCTCAGTGCTGTAGTCGATCTCCTGCTCGACAGAGGGGTTCTGTCCTCAGCGGGCCCCGGAAGCGACAGGGCCGTTCCTTTACAGGGCCCGTGCTGCCGTTATTGTTGCTGGTTCTGTCCCCGTTATTTTTCCGGTTTCGTCGCCGTTTTTGTTGCCGGTTCCGGTTCCGGCTCCAATTTCAGGGCCGTTTTTGTTGCCGTTTCCGATGGCTTTTGTTGTAACGTTTCCATGTTCACGAGACGTTGTTTTTCCAGAAACGGTGAAAGAAAAGGCCTTGCCGTTTGCGGGGCGGGCCCAACGTGTAGGCAGCTACGCGGCGTGGTGAACCAATCTTACAGTAGGCAGCAGTTTCTTCGTGGCAGCACCGCAGGAGCCTCGCGGTGGTTCTCCGCTCTCCCCAGTCAGAACCGAAGCACCGTCTGGTAAGCCAGTGGGGATGCGCGGTGACCGCACGGCGTTGAGATGTGCGTCGTCCTCCGAGGATGTCTCGGGCGGCTGGGGCCTCCGAAGCCCCAAGGGCCGCGCGGCGAGGTCGCGGGGTATTCTGAGGTCACCGCGCGGCCTGCCGCCGCCCGGTTGGGGATCCCCCGGCTGGGACGACCTCCGTTCTGGGCATGTCCACGGGGCTTACGTTCTTGACCCGTGGCCGACGCGGGCACCAAGTGGCCGACTGCGCGCCGTTGTGGGGTGGGCCCGCGATGGCCGAGCCTGCTGCACGAGTCGGGCAGGCTTGGCCCCGAACTCCCGGAGCACGCCCCGCCGAGGTGTGGAAGGAGCGGATATGGCCGCTGGTCAAGGCCAAGATCGCCAAGTTCAGCTCTCTGAGGACGTACATCCCCGTGTACCACGAGGCATCCCGTGGCGGCGAGGGCAGGGCGGTCGAGGGATGGGAGGAGGAGGAGGAGGAGGAGGAGGAGGAGGAGGAGGAGGAGGAGGAGGAGGAGAGGAGGAGGAGAGAGGAGGAGGAGAAGAGGGGGAGGGAGGAGGTGGAGGAGAACGAGAGGCGAGGAGACGTACAGTCGACCCGCATAGGAAGAATGTACAACTTTCCAAGGTCATCCTTCCCCGTCGGCCCATCCTTTGCCAATTTCGCTGGCCGCGCCCCGCTCGCAAAAAGTGCCGACGTGACCTTCCATCTGCGTTCTTATCGTGCGTCCTTATTTTGCGTGCTGACTGTAAGAGGAGAAGTGGAGAGATGATGCGGGGGCATTAATGTAGAAGCAGGCAGGAACAGGAGGAAGTGTAAGGGAATGCCGAAGCCTCCAGAGACCTCTACAGGGACTGGCCCGCGAGCGTTGCAGCGCCCATGCCAGGCTTCCGTCGCCAACCTGCTAGAGGTTGCCCTCTTCCACCGCACCACGTGTGAGGAGGCGGGGGACGCGCTGGTGGACCTGGTGGACTGGTGCGTGCGGAAGTTCAGGAACGGAGCGTGAATTGCAGGGGCTCGATGGCTCGATGTGTGCACCACGTCGTCCAGCCGTCCAATGAGCAAGTGAATTCGGCGAAAGAGCTCGTGGTGAAAAGGCCCCGCATCCCACAGGTTGCAAAGCGCGAGTGTCTTTACACCAATGTTTGGCCGACCAGACGACGTGGTGTACACTTCGAGCCCCTCCCAGTGACAGGGAAAGTCGCACCAACATGACATAACACATAGCAGCAGTGGCAACGGCGGCGGCAGCATCAGCATCATCGCAAACAGAAGGAGCGGAAACTCCTAAGCGGGTTGTGTTGTTTAGCGCGCGGTCGCCATCCTGGCGCTAGTGGTGGGATCTTGGGGCAGGTGGAAACCCTTCTTCGCAGATTAGCAGATGCATCTCCCGACGTGCAGACTGAGATCGGGGGAAGATGACCCTGGAAAGTGCACTGCTCTGATGATGCGACCTGGCTGTGGGAGGAGACAGGCCAGCACACACGCGACCACTCGGAGCCAGGCGCACGTCACACCCCCCCCCCCACCCCGACACGGCACCAGTCATTCTGAGCAGGCATGCAGCACCACACATGCACGCACGCACGCACGCACGCACATACATACAGCACACACACATGCAGCGTACACACACACACACACACACACACACACACACACACACACACACACACACGCACACACACGCGCGCGCACCCGTGTATTGGCGTCGCGGCAATGCGGGCGGGTGACGGCGTGGCGTAATCAAGTCTGGCTGAGGGCCGCGAACACGCGAACGCGCACACGCACACACACACACACATTTATTTGATTTGCGGGTCGAGAGCGCACCGCTTCCGGTCGAAGCTAAGCGGGCCGCGCGAAGCTTGAATTAACAGAGAGGGGGGGACAGAAGGAGAGGCCTCACGGCAAGGCCAGGAGGAGGCAAAGCCTCGGGATCAGGCGGTGCCGAAGACGACGTGCTTGCAAAGGAACGCCTTGTACAGGAACCCGACACACACCTCTTCCGGTCGAAGGTAAGCGCATCTCTTCGGGTCGAAGGTCAGCGGGCCGCGTAGAGCTTGAATTACGCAGAGAAGGGGGAGGAGAAGGGGGGCGCAGCCTCAGAACGAGGCCAGAAGGAGGCGCGCACACACACACACACACACACACACACATTCACACACACACACACACATTCACACACACACATTCACACACACACACGTGTACACACACCTTGGCATCGCTCGGACGTGTGCATTTGTTTCCCCCGGCGAGGGCCCTCGAGGAGCCTGTCTGATCCTCTCGCGAGAAAAATGCACGCACGGAGTCGAAACAAATTGCACGGGGAACGGAGCCCCGAGCGACTGCGAGTCACCACAGGGCACACGCAGCACACAATACCTTTCAGTCGGGCTTGTCTCCCTACAGGGATATTTTCCATGACAAATAACAAATTCCATGCAACCTATTGTTTAAAACAAAAAATACCAAACAAAGTATGGGGATTATGTTTTGAGAATGTTTTACCTTTTGGGGGTATGTTAGGGTATTTTTTAATTTTCATCGAAAATCGCCCTGTAGGGGGACAGGCCCGACTTATTGATACATTCAAGGTGTATGTTCTGCTGTGCGCGCCGCGTGCGGCGAATCAGGCACGCAGCGCGGCGTGGACGGTTCGGTGCTTCGTTGAGTCCGCGCCGGTGTTAGGGAACATTGAAAATAGGAAATCCCGGGGCAAAACTGCGAAGGCGATGGTTGGCCGTTGTCAAGAGACCCCCTGAGGGGAGGAAGCCAGCTCAGCGTCGGCGCACGGCATGACTCTTCTCTGCCACCAGCCAGTTTCCACGGCTCGTGTCACAGAAGCCGGGGCATTCCGAGCTCAAACAGCCGCAAGTACAGTCTTTGTCTTCTGGTTACATTCAGAGCCTAATCCGCCACAGCCCAGCCCTGTCCGAGCTTCAGGCTGGCCTGACTAAGGCCCCCCCCACTCAGGCCAAAAAGCCTTGCATCGCGCTCAACCAAGGACATCCCGGCAGTTGCCCATAACAGTGGAGACCCATGCCAAGAAACACTTTGCTTGCGTCCAGGGTGCCCTTGGTTTCTTGGGTTTCGAAGGTTTTGTTCTCGAAAGCGTGACGCTCCCACGCCAAAAGTCAATGGACGTCATGGGGTCTCAGGGCTGGGTTCCTTTGGAAGGTTTCTTGTGGACTGACCTCCGCTGTAAGACGAGGTGTGCCTAATTTTTCTGACCAGTTTCTGCTCGAGAGCTCTGCCCGCGCCGCCCCGCAGCGCCAGCGCGGCAGCGCGACCGCTGGCGCCGCCGCGGGATGAGCACGCGCCGCTGTGCGCGCGGCGCTGCGCGATGACGGCCGCGCCGCCAGACGCAACCCCGCTGGAGCGCACCTTCAAGAGCTTCGTAGGCCCCCCCAGGGCCTGGCGACTTCTCACCCTTCTCTCAGAGGAGGAAAAGGTACCCGTACCTCTACCTTTCCCTCGTTTTCCACGTCTTAGGCCTCCTGGAAAGCCCTCGTCGCCACCGCTGGACTGAGCTCGAAGTCCCAGTCAGAACGCACCCCGGGAGAGGTCCGAGGAGTTCAGGGATCGGTCCTTTTTGGTGCCGCCACCTTCGGGAGCCTTGAGATGGGCGTCGATACAAACGGAGATCAGCCGGATCGCCGCATGTGGCAGGATTTTGGAGAGCCAGGGGTGCATTGACCCGGGCTAGCGCGCAGAAGCCCACAGGATCCTACAGGACGTTGCAGGCTTTCCTGCAGGATCTCGCAGAGCCCGACCGACCCATGTTTGCATTGGCCCGGGTCAGTAAAATCAAGGGAGGAAAAACCACCCAGACCCAATGATTGGCGTTTATTAAACGGCCCTGGGCGTTTCTCAAACAGCCCTGCCCTGTTCGATTCCTTCTATGGATGCGCTTACGAAACGGCTTCGCGTGTCGGGGCGACTATTGTGGGGATGGATTATATGCCCTCTATGGGAGCCCGAACCTTGGAAGTGCGTGCGTCGAAGAAGTGAGGGCGTCCTCGAGGGCGCGAAATGATTCGCGCTTCGCGGTTCGGCTCCGATTCCCCCTCGTCCTCCTCGCCTCCCCTGGGAGGCGGCGCGAGAGCGCCAAGCTGTTCGCGCTGCGCACGTCGCGCTTCGCGCGGGGCGCGAAGCTGAGAGCCCCTGAAGAAGGGGAGTCCTCACAAGCATGCGCTCCCCGAGGTCCGCGCGGAGTTCTGGGGGTCCCGGGAGGGAAAGACACACACACACACAGACACAATTCATCGTCGACCTCCAGGAAAATAGAAGGAACATATGGGAAGTGGGGGGGGGGAAGACACAGACCCAGAAAATAGTGGAGAGCACGGGACAAAAATAGGACCCTACGGGAAAACATAGGGACTGTGTTAATCTGTGTGTATTCGTGTGTGTGTGTGTTTATCTGTGTGCCCCTGGGCTCCTTTAGGGTCCACGCTCGGCCCGCCGGGCCTCCGCCCCCGGCGGTGCCCCGCGCCGGCGCGCTGGGCCCGGCCTCGGCCCGGGCAGTCCGGGCGGGGCTCCGAAGGCCTGTGCGCTCGGGGAGCGGTCTCGTCCAGGGGCGGGGGGAGGGCGAGCTGCAGGAAGGAGGAGAGAGGCCGTCCTCCTCCTCCTCCTCCTCCTCCTCCTCCTCCTCCTCCTCCTCCTCCTCCTCCTCCTCCTCCTCCTCCTCCTCTCTCTCTCTCTCGACCTGATGATATGTGGTTCAAGCTGCCAATCCTAAGGAAGAAACAGTGCACGTGCAGAGGAGGAGGTTACCCCCAATAGGCTCCTCCCCCGCATCAAGGGCGGTGGTGCCCTGGTACGGGTCACTCCCCGTGGCCCCCCCCCGACATCTCTTGATAAGCGGCGGCAGCGATGGCGGTGCAAAAGAGAAGAGGCACATCCCCCGCCCACTCATCCACATCCGCCTGGCTGCCAAAAGGGGGCAGAGAAAGAGCAGTGCTAGCCAGTATCGTTTGGGCGCGGTCGGGACTCCACCTGCGGGGCAAGGATCGATGGGTCTTATAGCTTTCCCTGTGCGAGCTGGCCCATCGAACAGGTTCATCCTCCCAGGGGTCGGGATATCCGACGATTCCTTTCGGGTTGGTGAGAATCATTGGGATCTTGGCCTCGGCGGCGGCATAAAACATGATGGTCGACAGACGCGAAAGAGCGTTAGCTCCGGCCACCTGCTTATATTCAACCTCGCTGAGGGTCCCAAGACACATGGGGGAGGAGACAGAACGGAGGGGGGGGAGGCTGGATCCCCCGTCATATCCACTGCGAGCGGGGTTCCACGTCTTGTCGGGGGGGGGAACTTATGACAGCCGACACAACCCCATCAAGAATCCTCCTAGCCCAAAGTTGGGCCTCTCCCGCTTGGGTGCTTCTAATACGAACGACCTGCACCTGCCGACCTAGGAGGTTCTTCTGAATGCGAGCCTGTTGCTCAAACGCGGAATCCACTTTGTCCTGCCCGTCAATTGTAACAATGCAAGGCATAGGAGGAGGGGACAAATCCGCTGGCCAAACAATCTTCTGGACTTCCTCGTTGCCTCCTTCCTGATCCAAACACACCTGAGAGAGGACGGGAAGAAAGGGGGCGCGGGCAGGAGGGGGGAGCAAGGGTCCAACGGGTGGCCCGTACGTACAACGGTGGGCACTGCTCTCAGCATAATTGTCATGCAACCCTTTTTGCTTGTCTTTTCTGTGGAAAACTCGGTCAGCGGCCTTGCATTCATCCAGGCTGCGCTCTATAGCTCTGCCACTTTGCAACCAAGAGTGCGCACACCTTGGCACTCTCTTAGGATGTTTGACAAGTCTGGCACGGCAATGAAAATCAGTCAGGCATATTTGACATAAAGACCCCGCCGCCCAATTGTCAGGATCACTCTCGCTGCGGTGGGTCTTCGTAATGTGGGTCTGCAAGGCCGCCGACGAATAGCAAACGAAACCACAATCGTAGCATCAATATTGCTGGGCAGCATTATCTTCCTGCTCCGTCGGCTGGCTAAGAGTGAAATCAATTCTTCTCCCTTTAAACATGGCGCCCAACAGCTCAAGATGATGCTTCTCAAGGTGGATCTCGCTTTCCAGGTTCCTATCACTTATAGCGGCCCTGCGAACGGTCCCCAGGACATGTTTTGGCGCTTGTCTAGCAAATGACACCCAGTCCTCAAAACGCCCTTGTCCTGGGATGCCTTTCTTTCTAACCCGGGTATTAAGCCAATGCGTGTCCTGCATGAGGGCATTCGCCCGCGTCCCTGATGTGTTGCAAGTGAGATCAAGGATGCGGAGGAGGGATGAGGAGGCATGAGACAAAACCCGAGGGAGCAAGCGGAGGCGGGCAACCCTAAGAACAACCTCCATTCTCACCCTCTGAGAGTTATGCAGGACTTCTCTATCCGGGTGGTGTCTTCCTTCTTTGTGCCTCGGCATAGCCAGCGCCGCTCGGTACATATCGGCCTGGGCGGTGCTCATTCTCCTCAGTTGGCTCTTGTTAAGCATTCCCCAAACACACGTATTGCACAACAGCTTAGACCCCGCAATGCTATCGGTATACCTAATCTTACTGGTGGTAGGCAAGGCCTTACGCGGGGCAATACTCGACCTGATAGGCCGAAGATCAGCTCTCATGGAGCTCACACGGTGGTTGATCTCGGCGTTAAGGTTCATTTCATCGGTGAGGTAAGCCCCGAGCAACTTATATGTTCTCACAACGCGAACCTTGACCGCGTGATCTTGAGACAACCTCAGCACCCGCTCCAGTGCTGTCTCCAAAAAGGTGTTGCTGGGCAATGCTAGATTTTTTACCAGCGGTCTTAATCAGCACAACAGTTTTAGTGTCATTCATCCTCAGGCCGTGGTTACTCACATGCTTATACACAATGTCTAACCTTTTGTCAGCCACGCAAGTGGCCAAGCTGGCATCTTCGATTTCTCCAATCGCGGTGTTGTCGTCAACATGCACGGAGGAAGCCAGCGGGACCACTGGGTCCACGATTCCCAGGAACGGACCTTCGCATCCAGGAAGCTCCGAAGTCAGCTGGTTCTGCTCCATGTCTCTCTGAATCCCTCGGACGATCGGAGCAAACGCGGCATTGAACATGTCACAAGCAAAAACCGCACCAGGCTTCGTGCCGAGGGTCGGGGCCACATATTTCTGGGACCTCCGAAATTGCCACCGCGACCCCGCTTGGGCGGCGCGAACCAACTCCAGCAGGTGTTGGTCCTCGATCAAGGCGCCCAGGGCCGGGCCCTCCGCCAGCTGCAAGATCGCGTCTCGGAGCGCAAGAGGAACCGGCAGGCCCGAGACCACCGCAATAACTTGCTCTTCCTCGTGCGGGAGGGCGAGAACCAGTTGCCTCGCCACAGAATAAAAGGCGGCAGCAAGGCCAAGAAACATAACAATTGCCGTCTTTTTTCGAAGCGCAATGTCGTGTAATCTATTGCGCACGTACAGGCAAGCAAAATCAGCCCCCACTCCAGGGCGGCCACCGCATTGTTCCCCCCGCAAGGTGCTACAGATGATATTCTTAGCCTTGGAGCGGACATGAGCATGGTGCAATTTGAGGATGGCGTTAGGTAAGAGAATGCGGCGGTAGCAAGCCGCCATGCTAATGTCGCCTTTTCCTGTGTAACAAGAGACCACCTGTGCGAGCCTGATCTCAACGGGTTCAGTGGCCGCCAGGCCCATGTTCACCATGAGGGGGTGGAGGATCCGTGAGGTTCCCTTGGGGGCCGCGCGCAGGAGATCGTTCGTGATCCCATCGGGACCAGGGGCCTTTCCTTTGGGGGCCCGACGGATCAAAAGTGCAACCTCAGCTTTGGAGATGATATTTCCAATCTTCCGCTCGACCTCTTGATTCAGCTTCCCTTGGCTGGCATTGTAATCCAAGTGGAATCGTTCTCGTGACAACTCAACCCCTGACTCAACCTTAGCAAAGTGCTGTTGCATATCGTCAGCGTCTACTTGCGGTATACTTATTATGAATCCATCAGGGGCCCTCCTGATAGGGGTCACAAAAGGGGCCCTGTGTCTTTGTCCCCCGAAGCTCAACAACGTGCGCGCATGGTTCCATTCGGCCCTGCTGTTCCTGCCTTCGATCGAGGTTTTGGCGTCCTGCCCATGTTTCATCAAAAAAGCACTGAAGTCATGATCGAGCGCCTTCTGCAACTGCTCATGCGCACTCGCTATGAAAGACACCAGGTGCAGCCGATATTCAAACAATTCTATGCTCTTCTTGACAAACTGGGCAGGGGGCCGACTGGAGGGGGGGGGGAGGGGGGGGCATGGGCAAGGGGATGGAAGAGGAGAAGGCTGGCTGCAACGGACTGGTCAGATCCTCAGCCTGTTGCACGGTAGGTGGCAGAAACCCACCTCGGGCAGCGTCAATTCTCA